TTGATGGGTCGCATGTTGGCACGGCTGGTTGGCAATTATGGCTTCATGGGCCACAAAGTTGTCAATCGGTTTGGACGACGACAAGCCTGTCGCTTGTCTGATGTCCGCCAGAACCGAAATCCAACTGTTGCAACTCATTCCTTTTGATAGACTGCTCTGTATTTGACAGAGTGAAATTGAAGTCTAGGAATAGATAGTTATTAAGATTACCCTAGTCCCGCCTCACCCTTGGAGGAAACCAGCGCTTGCGCTGGGGGATTGGGTGTTGGAACGTGTATTAGATACTTAGATTGATTCGACTAGTCAGATTAAGGTAGCCTGGTAGGCGCAGCGGTTCGATTCCGTAATACCTTATATTTGACATGGTAAGGTTATGGGATGAAGTCCTCGGTTCACATTGCCCTTGTCGATCTTGGAAATGAATGCCGACTGTCTGCATCGACAGGATAAAGATGGACGTGCAAGGGTTGCGACACCAGAAATGGGTGTGCGAGGCTGAAGGGCTATATCTAAGTATCGAATAAGGGAGGATGTTGGAACGTGTATTAGATACTTAGATTGGACTAGTCAGAATAAGGTAGCCTGGTAGGCGCAGCGGTTCGATTCCGTAATACCTTATATTTGACAATTGGGGGCCAACAGCTAGAGTAGCAACTGTCACAAAAACATCATTGGAACTCTCTTAGGCCCAATTGGAGTCTGCGAAATCAGCAATCGAGCACACAACGGATGGGATTCAAATTTAAAAATTGGCGTTCAAAAATACGAGGCATTCAAAACTCCAATTTCCGAAACAATCATCAAAAACTCGAATCTTTTAAATCTCAAATCGTCAAACCCAAGATGGCTGAAATCGAAACCGTACTTGTCCGAGACTTCCCAAGTCTCGAGACTCCCAGGAACAATCGGAAACCTGGAGCAAAGTCGTTGAATATGTCTTCCAGTGCAAGCACCTTTGTGGAGACACCAATGGCAAACGATGACTCTCCTGACACCTTGCATATTCGAGCAATCAGTACAGAGGGAAAGAGGACTACCGATATTCTCAAAGACTTGGATACTCCACCTCGAAGCAACCACAGGAAGTTATTTCTGTCAAAGATGATGGAAGAGTTCCCTTCACCAGCAATTCCAAATGGAATTCTGTCTCCATCCATGTCGGAAGTTACGGCGCCATCTGCATTCAAAGAACGCAACCATAGCTTTGCATCTTCATCTCCAAGCGTTTCTGATATTGACTTTTCTATTAGTCAAACTTCTATGAAACCCAGCCTTCTTTTCCGTGAAAAGGAAACCAAGAGAGCCATGGACTTTTCGACTGTTTTCAAGTCTCGATCAGCACCTGTTCGAAATCATCCTGCTGCGGTCCTTCCGGTAACTCCAGAGGCGGAAAGTGAAAAGAAACCGATGGCTCGCGAAAGTTGGCAGCTTCACAATACTCCTGAGAGTCAGCCAGGGCGAATTGTCATCAATAGTCTAATCCGTGACGACGTCTCTTGGTGTGCCTCGTCAGCCTGCCCCTTTGACTGCGTCGAAGACTACGACCATACTTCTGTGCCTCCAGCACTCGAGGAGGCTAATTCAACGGCAAACAAGGAGAGTGGCTTATCTGGACTTTTCAAAAAGAGCTCCATTTCTAGGCATCGTTCCATTCCTGAATCTAGAGCCGAGAATCACCAGACTGGTGCTAGAGATAACGAAGGCGAGGTCGAGACTCAGGACAATTCTTCAACCATGGTTGGAATGGTGATGAGAGTAGAACGGATGAGTAAACTCTTCGGTTTTTTTTCCAAGATTTCGGCTTCGAGCGAACAACGCGTCGAAGGATCCATGCCTGACGATGAAGCGATGGATACAGAGAAAGAAGTTGTTGACATAGAGGGGGGGGAGCCGGTTGATAGTGAATTTGCAGAATCCCTCGGCAAAAACATCTCGAATGAACACCCTATTGATGAGTCTCCCGGACAAAATTTGTCTTCTAGTGGCTCTGATACACAGAAAACGAAAGAGTCACCAGGAAATCCGGAAAACATGATATCGGGGAATAAAAAGGATGTTCCTGAGCTCGACGACACAGTGGCTCCAAGCAGATCTTATGATGATGACGCTGAACATTCTTCACAACAAACGGCTGAACAAAGCAAACGATATGCCAAGAGATTTATTTTTTACATCTTTGTTCCAGCCCTTGTTTTGTCAATCATTATCCTCGCGAGCATTCTTGTCAAACGAATGACCGACCGAGAAACTTCGTATTCTGTCACGTCTCAGACGCTTCCACCGACCGATATTTTTGACTTTAGAAGCGAACAAACACGACGTCCAATTGACGTGCCTCCATTTTTTGACAACACTCACAAGCTCTGCAATGAAGCACAAAAGTTAACCCCATCAAGTAAAACGTATGACTCGATGAGTCGTACAGCTTGGGACAATACCATCAATACCTGTGGCGACTCTTTAGAGTTTGGATTTGCAGCTTGGTACTCTGTCACAGTTGACGAAAGCAGATTCATGGAAGCTTCAACTTGCAATGATGCAGACTTCGATACTCAGATCACGATCATGTCTGGTGTTTGCGAAGAGCTCAGTTGTGTTACATTTAGTGACAATGAATGTGGTGCTCAGAGCCGAGCTACTTGGTATGCTGAAAAAGGAAAGTCTTACGTTGTTGTTGTTGGCGGATACCGCGAAGAATGGGGGGAATACACTTTAAGTCTCAATCCTACTACCATTAACGACAAGTGTCAAGATTCTGTTTCATCAGTGGCCATAGACTCAACTGTCTTTGGTACTACATCCGGAGCGACAATCGAGGACCTTCCGAGTTGTGGTGGTGTAGACACCACCAAGCCTGGAGTTTGGTATGAGGTATCGAATGTTGACGGTCCAGTAAATGCCGATGTAATTGGTCGTGGGTTTAATTTTGCGGGACAGGTTTCTGTTTACGATGGAAGCTGTGACGCACTATCTTGTGCGGCAGGAAGCAAGTCTGGCTCCGTCACATGGGACGCACTCCCTGGTTCAACGTACCACGTGTATGTCAATGGAGAAGCAGTCGATGGCGACTTTGGCCTCTTCCTCGGTAGGGAGAACAAGGAGAGCTGTAACGAAGCTTCGCCACTTCAACCAAGTAACTTTGCATACATCTCGAGTACAAGGGATGCAAGACAACAAGAAGTCGAATCCTGCGGATTTGATGGAAGACAACACTCAGCTCCTGGTAAATGGTTCTCGCTCATCGGAACAGGAAATGAGTTCAAGGTTAGCACTTGCAGCGCAGACGTAGATCTTGATACTGAGGTATCTCTATTCCAGGGTAGCTGCGGCGCGTTGCAGTGTGTTGCTGGAACAGGAAGGGCTTTGCCATGCGCAGAAGGGGGTGTGATTTCTTGGAAGACTGTACCCGATTCAATGTACTATATTTATGTGTCTGGGCGAGGATCTCGAGTAGGCGACTTCTGGTTGACAATTGAAGAAACAGAAGTGGTAGGATCAATTTGTACAGAACACCTTGCATTGGGAGCATTCTCGACTAAAAGCATTAAAGGATTTATTGAGGTTGGATCCACAGAACCCGTTCAGATTGAAGGGCTAGTCGGGACTGCTCGCGGTGTATGGTATGAATTAATTGGAACTGGAAACCTAGTTGAGTTATCGGTCTGCGGAATGGACAGTAGCTTTGATGGCCGCGTGTCGGTGTCGACAGGTGATTGCTCTGATCGAATAGTCCTTGGACAGACATCAAAGTGCGGAGAAGATGGCGATAACGTCAAATTCGTAACGACGGTTGGACACAAATACCAAGTTTTTGTACATGGTGACGACGATGAAGCTACTGGCGAATACACATTGAGCATGAAGGATTATGATGAATTGAATGATCGCTGTGCACTTGCCCTGCCCTTAGAGACTGTGAGTGGTGTATATTTTGGTAGTACAACGAATGCTATCATTAGTGATGCCATTGATGTCATTGATGCAAAGAATACTGTTGCATCAGCTCCATCTGTTACTAGTACACCAACGAGACGACCTACCATTGTTCCTACCTCCGCACCATCTGCACTTCCAACAGAGACGTCAAATGAGGATGAAAAAGCTGACAACAAGGGTGGAAAGGATAAGAAAGACAAGGAAAATAAGAACAAGGACGGTAGAAAAATCCAAGAGATCATTGGCAGCTGTGACTTTATTCCTCCGACTTTCGGCTTATGGTACAAGATCGATGGCAGTGGCGGGGATATCATCGTTTCGACTTGTTCGGAGGACACAAACTTCGACACAGCGATCGATATCTTTATTGGCGGATGTGGAGACTTGCAATGCATAACTAGCAACGATGATAGTTGCGGTTCTCAGAGTCTGGTAAGGTTTGCATCAGAGATTGGTGTTGCGTATTACGTTCAGGTTCGTGGAATTGACGAATTAGAAGTTGGCGACTTCTCTTTGAGTGTTACGGTTAGGAATCCCAACTTCCGAGCTTAGGTTGCGATGACTCGAATGCTGGCCCTGTATGCGAGATTGCATACTGTGTAAGGTTGACTAAAAAATAAGTTTGTAATGGTATAATTTTTTCATACAAATGACATGATGCATTCTTTCTCATTTTAAAGTTTTCTAGTCATTTAGACTGCATTCTCTCACCAATTGACTCGGTTAAACACCGAAACGTGAAAAGTGGGTGTTGGATGGCGTTCTGAAGGTCTTGGGATTTGTCAAAAAGAGGTCTAAGATACACGGGTGTCCCGGCGTTCTTTCGAGTTTTGTTTTCCAGGTCTTCGTGATCAAGGAAGCTTTGGACGTCTACGGATTTCTCGAGATTTTGCTTGATGATCGCCTCAGTGATGTCTCCACGAACCAGTCGATCAATCATAGTCCCTATTTTTCTCCCATCTGTTTTTTGCCGTTTCCGTGGAGAGGAATCTTCAGCAGATGACTCCAGGTGGCGTCGACGAGTAGAATCAAGCAATGCGAAAAGAGATCTTGAAACATCGGGAATATACTTACAGAGCTTCCCTTTTCGTTCTTGTCGGTCACGAAGTGCATTTCTCTTTTGCAAATGAGTCCTCAACATCTGACAACAACTCTGCAGGGTTCGCTTTACTGAAACCGAAATTTCTGTGATATCGTCCCCAATGTATTCTTTGCCTGTTCCTTTGTAGGGAATTTTAGTTGACACGATACTGACGAACACTCCAATTTTGTCCCGTTTGTGATCCATCTTGTAACTGCTCCATTTGATCTTTGTTTGGGCAACTCTAGTACTCACATCGGCCCCTCCTACAGAGAATCGTGTTGGTTGACTGCATGCAAAGGGACATGGAAGCAGGCACCGTCGGCTTACCTTCAAATAATAAAGGAATGCGATTGGCTTTGTGCACAGAACCACGAAGTCAAGATGGTGAGTCATGGGAACATTTTATCTAAGGGACGATTTCGGCACATACCAAATCGGACAACAGTAATCCCTTCTTTAACATCTTTGCCCCCCAAGCTAACGGCAGCCTCAACAATAAAGGGGTGTCCTTCATAAGCACATGGCCGGTCTCTCGCAGTCGCAACATAGTCAGGTTCTAGAACTTTTCGAATTCCAAGATTTAGGTTATACTCTCCAAGTGGACTCAGACAAGAGCCATCAGGAGCCTTGAACATCTGCACTGTCTGAAGAACTTGCACGAGCTTTGTAATATCTTTGTCTGTCAGTTCGTCCGGCGCTATGTCGTTGTCATCCCAACCACACTCAGCTACTATCCGCTTTGCTACCCCAAGCGAAACGCTTGATAGTTCCGTCTCAAGAAACTTGGATATTGATTTCTGCTTTGTTCTCTCCAGCAACTGTTGGATTACCAAGTTGTTGACGGAGCTGAATAAGGCAAGTTGAGTTGTCACAGGTCACAAAAGAGAATGACAAGCACCGGTCTTACCTAGGGTGATGCTTCACTTCTTTCGCTGCAGCCGGCATTTGCTCAGATCGCCGATCGTAGCGAATGCTCATGTTTCGCTTTGGCTCGCTGATATTCTTGTAAGTTAGCTCGAGCTGGGAGTACGGAGTAATGATTGCCAATTGTTGTAAATATTGCACAATTCGTGCCTTATAGGTAGTCCAGTTTCCCATTATGAGGATTTCCAGCTCGGTCCCTGCCCATAGTTTGATTGAATTGGGATTTTTCTTGTGTTCGATGATCTTTGGAACATTCTTGGTAATGTCGATGTCTAGAACACAAGTTGAGAAATGCTTTGGTGGTTCTCCTCCATTAGGACGATGACTGCTGGTCACTTTGATTGGGACTCCACTCGACTTTTTGCTCCAGATAAGACTAACAAACCAGAGGGGGGGGAAATTGAAAACAGTTGAGAACGTGCATCGTAACTACATAAATGATCACTGCTGACTTACGCCATTTTTGCTCCAAGACCAAACTTTCCTCGCGTTTGACGAACTCCGTACTTACTCCCGCTCAAAACTCTTCCTAAAAGATCTGGGATTTTCTCGTGCCTCATGCCGCAGCCATTGTCCTTAACCTTAACTATGAAATAGCCCTCTTGTGACGCCTTTTTCCTTGTAGGAGTTTTGTCGTCCGCCTTCTTAGAGGCTGTCTCTTTTCTCTTGCGGAAGAGTTCGACATCTTTGTTCTGCTGTGATATCCCACGAAGCTTATTGAACTCTTCTTTGGTTAGTTCTTCAATTGATACAGCAATATTGGGCAAGACATTAATGCTTTCGCAAGCGTCGAGTGAGTTTTCTATCAGTTCGCGGATGGACGTATAGAGAGATTTTCCCATATTATCGAACCCTGCAATGGCCTGGTTCTCTGCGAAAAACTCGGCGGGTGATTTTTGAATCTGAACCTCGCCATGATTGGCTCCTTTGGTGCCTTTGGGCATCCTGTGTATCGTATTTCTTTCGTTATGAGGATTTTAATTATCAATGACAGTCCACCAACAATCACAATATTCCTGTATCCATGGAAGGTCCGATAGGGATGTAGTGGGAGGGAAATAAAGAAATAACCTTATTTCTTGATATTCGCACACAAGTTCGATGAATTGGTTGTCTGCAAAGTTTGAAAGTGGCCCGTCTTCTTTTACCAGGGCAGCTTTTGCTTGCTGCTTCGTGGGTGTGCACGTGATGGTGGGATTTGGTGTTTGGGAACAGTGGATACGGTACAAAATCTACGTAAAATCGACTTCACCGACCACAATCAGTACTGTAGCGAAAATCATCTCAAAGATTTGGCGCGAAATATTCTCCATTCTGAATTCTCCAATTATCTCAATCACAACCAATAATAATCCATCTTTAAAATTTTTTATTAAAAAAAACAGAAATCAACAACACAACTATGGGAACCTTGCAAACGTAACATCGTATTCATAAAATCAACGACCATTCAACCACCAACCATGCCAGCTAT